GTTGGAAAGATTCTTAGACATGATGGTGTCAAGGCAAGAGCCCAATTTTGTAGCGCAGGTGAGCATTCAAAAATAGTATGGTTAACTATGGTTAACTGACTCATCATGCTTCACATTTCATGTTACCTCTACATATCCAGACACAACCTTGCATTTAATTGCTCTTACATGACTAGTGTTTATAACATGAATGAATTTTTGTAAGAAAAGCCTCAACTGTCCATGTCGTCAATTTTAAATAGGCAAGAGCAAGATTGGGATAGCTTGGGGACACAGAAGTTATTAGGTTTTTGGGAAAATATTTAAGAGTTTTAGATAAGATCGAGATGAACAAAATGAAGCGAGTAAAGATGGAGAAATGTGGATAAATAGTCTCTAGTATCAGTGACTTCATAACCTTTAGCAGAACAAAGATAAAAGAACAAACAGAAAAATCGAAAATAAATGGTCTGCATATCTCTTTCTCCCCTGCGTGTGGCTGAGCTGGGTATTTTCTATTTATAGCTTGTTCTTAGTAGAGAGAAAAGGTATCTAAGAAAATATATCAAACAAGTATTATTGAGAACACTCTTACTTATATCTTCATACCGGTCATCAGTTTCTACAAGTTCACGTAACACAGTATTGTCATGCAATGTACATGGGCTAAGTGTTCTCAAAGGTAATTAGTGAAGAGAGCTCTAAGTAGCAGCAGCTTGTTGAGTTTTTTAATGGTGTCACTGCGAATATTGGACCACATAATTAGGCGAAAAAAGCCAATATTGGTCGTTCTCTGAGTACAATAATAGCTTGGTACCCAACACGTGATGAAACGAAAGATAGATCTTAACACGTAACATATGAAAAATGAGGGAAAATAGGGGAAGATGCGAAAAAGAAACAACATTTAACAGAGGACTTGCTAAATGGGGTCAAGCTTAGAAAAAAATGTTAACTGGTTCTATTAAGTAGCCGTTGAAGTTGTACCAGAAACTTGTACGTAATAATAGAACAGAGGAAGAAGAAACAGAGTTAGTGGGCCTTGATAGTATGGGCTTGAATTGTGTGAAGAGCAAAGGCCCACATGTGAAGGCGGTAAATATATGTTTGACTGAAGGAGGTAGAAGATGCAGACAAGAGAGTACGGAGATGAAGAAGATGAAGCCAGCTGGTGGTGTGGTCCTGAGTAACCAATACGCTCCTCTTGTGTCTTGTATCTAAGGGATATTAATGATCCACGTGTAACTAGATTGAGCATGGTTACTAGGGTTTCTTTCTATCCTTAAGACTATATAAAGTCATCTCTTGTAAGATCTGAGTTGTGTTGAAAGTTTAATAAAAACAGAGTTTCCATCTTTAAATTGTTCAAAGTTCTTCATGGTATCAGAGCTTTAAGAACCTTAACAGGTCGCTACTATGGCTGAAGCTCCGAACCCCTATCCGTTCCCTACAAGTCTCCATATTACAAGCTGCGTGACTCTCAAGCTAAATGAGAATAACTATCTTCTGTGGAAAACACAGATTGAAGCTCTACTCAGTAGTCAGAAGCTTCTTGGTTTTGTGACAGGACAAACAGTTGCTCCTGCAGAAACGGTGACTAATATCGTGAATGAAGTTCCTGTAGTTACCCCAAATCCAGCCTTTGAAGCGTGGAAGTGTAGTGATCAGTTGGTCAAGTCTTGGGTGTTTGGGACTCTTACGGAAGAAGCTCTGGGTCATGTTCATAACTTAAACACTGCACAAGACGTGTGGTTGGCGCTTGCTGATAACTTCAACAAAAGCTCCGTCGCTAGAGAGTTTGACATTCGTCGTCGGTTGCAACTTCTCTCTTCACGAGGTAAAGAGTTCTTGGTCTACTGTCGTGAGTTTAGGGCTTTGTGTGATCAACTTAGCTCTATTGGAAAACCTGTTGATGAGTCCATGAAGATTTTTACTTTTCTGAATGGACTTCCTCGTGAGTATGACCCTATATCCACGGTGGTTCAAAGTTCTATGTCTCGATATCCTCCCCCTACGTTTCAAGATGTGATCTCTGAGGTAACTGGGTTCCATACAAGACTTCAGTCGTATGAAACGCCAGCGGATGTCACTCCCTTCACAGCCTTCCAAACGCAGAGATCAGGTTACAACAACAACCAACGTGGTCGTGGTTACAATGGTGGTGGTGGTCGCTTTGGAAACAGAGGTCGAGGAGGTGGTTATTCTACTAGAGGAAGAGGCTTCTCACAACAGGTTAACTCTTCTGGTTGGAATCAAGCTCAGGGAAGTACTAACCGTCCTACTTGTCAGATTTGCGGACGTGTGGGACACACTGCTCTCAAATGCTGGAACCGTTTTGATAATGCATATCAAAGCGATGATGTTCCAAAAGCTCTTGCTGCAATACAAGTATCTGATGCTACTGGAAGGGAATGGTATCCTGACTCGGCAGCTACAGCGCACATAACTGCTGCTGCATCTTCCCTGCAGAATGTTGCTCCGTATCATGGTCCAGAATCTGTCTTGGTCGGAAATGGAAATCAACTTCCCATCACACACGTTGGATCTACGGTCATTACCACTCCACAAGGTAGTATTCCCCTACTTGATGTTCTGGTTTGTCCGGGAATACAAAAGTCTTTACTTTCTATATCTAAACTATGTGATGATTACCCATGTGGTGTGTTTTTTGATGCTAACTGGGTCTATGTCATTGACCTAAACTCTCAGCGAGTAGTGACCAAAGGACCTCGTCATGAGGATCTATATATGCTGAAGAATGCAGAGTTTGTTGCGTTTTACTCTAATAGACAGGTGACTGCAAGTGAGATGGTGTGGCATCAACGTCTGGCGCACACAAACCCTCAAGTTCTTCAGTATCTTATAAGCAGCAAGGTGATATCAACGAATAAGAGCAGAACACCCTCCATTTGTGAGCCTTGCCAGATGGGGAAGAGCTCGAAGTTACCATTTTTTTCTTCTATGTCTAATGCTTTGGCACCCCTTGATCGTATCCATTGTGATCTTTGGGGGCCATCTCCTATTGTATCAAACCAAGGCTTTAAGTACTATGCTATTTTGGTTGATGATTTCTCTCGTTACTCTTGGCTCTTCCCACTTAAAGCTAAATCAGACTTCTACCAAGTGTTTGTGGCGTTTCAAAAACAAGTTGAAAATCATTATGGTCTTAAGATAAAACAGTTTCAAAGTGATGGAGGTGGTGAGTTTACGAGTCAAGTGTTCAGGAATCACTTAGCTGCGTGTGGTATCCATCATCAGTTGTCTTGCCCTTCAACGCCTCAACAAAATGGTCTCGCAGAGAGGAAGCACAAACACCTCACCGAACTTGCCCTTGCAATGATGTTTCAGAGTAAAACTCCATTCAAGTATTGGGTGGAAGCTTTCTACTCTGCAAACTATGTCAGTAACTTACTCCCCTCTGCAGCGGTTGAATTCAAGACACCCTATGAGTTATTAAACAAACACAAGCCTGACTACTCATTCTTAAGGGTCTTTGGTTCAGCTTGTTACCCTTGCTTAAGACCATATGGGAAACACAAGTTTGATCCAAGGTCTCTGCAGTGTATATTCCTTGGATACCACTCTCAATATAAAGGTTATCGATGTCTGTTCCCTCCAACTGGACGAATCTATATATCTCGCCATGTGATCTTTGATGAAGGCATTTTTCCTTTTGAACATCGGTACAAGGATTATGTGGTTCCTCAGACAACACCTTTGCTTCAGGCTTGGCAATCTACTCCCCTACCAACACCTCTCCTTCCTACAGTTCCTCAAACCGCTCCTGATCACCAACCTGCCCCTCCAGAACCTTTGCCAACACCTCCAACAACACCTGTTCCTGTTTCTCCTAGACCTCCTCCAGCTCAGGAGACTGATATTCAGTCAGATCGGGTTGAAGCTACTCGTGTGCATCCAATGACTACTCGTCTGCAACATGGTATCAGCAAACCAAATCCTCGGTATGCTCTCCTAACACGAAATGATGTTCCAACGATTCCCAGAACCATCACTGCCGCATTGAAACATCCAGGTTGGAACAACTCGATGCTGGAAGAAATGGAGGCACAACATCGAAATGGCACAATGTCTTTGGTTCCTAGAGAACCTCATATGCACGTTTTGGGGTGCCGTTGGATACACACTATCAAGCTCAAAGCTAATGGAACACCAGATAAGTTGAAGTCTAGACTAGTGGCTCGGGGGTATGAGCAAGAGGAGGGCGTTGATTTCATTGAGACCTATAGCCCAGTGGTTCGGACTTCAACCATCAGAGTTGTCCTCAATGTTGCCGTTGTAAAAGACTGGAGAGTGAGACAGTTTGATGTTAAGAATGCGTTTTTACATGGTGAACTCCTGGAAGATGTCTTTATGGAGCAACCTCCTGGCTTCAAAGATGCAACAAAACCAATGATCCACGTGTAACTAGATTGAGCATGGTTACTAGGGTTTCTTTCTATCCTTAAGACTATATAAAGTCATCTCTTGTAAGATCTGAGTTGTGTTGAAAGTTTAATAAAAACAGAGTTTCCATCTTTAAATTGTTCAAAGTTCTTCAAAACTGAGCATTACGCTGATCTGTTACCGGTTCAAAAAAAAAAGAACCATACTCTCTCCTCTGCTTCATTACTTGATAACGTATGTGCAATGCGGCTTGCTTTTTTCATAATCTTTGGCTGAAGTACATGTTCATGAAATATCTTGACGGGTTGAATCCGCTTAAGATCACTGCCAGAATAAATAAACAAAGCTAAGATGATGTTTACGATTTTTCAAAAAGAAGAATGTGTTTTGTGTTTTAATGTTCAAAAAAGAAGAATGTGCGAAATTAATGAATGATCTAAGCTTACGGATAGGAGACAGGACAATCACGATCCCGATTGGGTAGAGGAAGAATGTTGTTCGTTCCAAAAATGGAAGCACTGTATGGATTCATTGACAGCAAGCAATCTTGTTAGCTCAAAAGTAATTCTGGAAGGAAACTATAAAATTTCTGAGAGTTACCTTCATATCCTAGGAAGTTAAGATAATGGTAATACGAAGCTCCGACCATGAAGAGCAGATTCGATAGCAGTAGAGGGATGAATCCGTGAGTTACCAGGAGTGGTGATAGGAAATAATGTACTACTGGAGAAACACAAGAAGAAATAACTAAAAAATGTATTTATTTACAGAGATTGCGGTTTGAGAATTGAGTTGTGTGTTAAAGATGGTCTAACCGTAAAGCAGCACAAACATTGGAAAGAACGAGTTGCAGTGAACATCAAATGTATACAGCCTACAGAAGTATACATTGAAGGCAAGTCATAAACAAGCTCGCATAAATAGAGAGACACTATGATATGGAACATGGATACTGAACCAACGAACACGATAAACAACAAGTTCTAACTCATCCTAGAGAGTAAAAGAAATATCATGTTCAGACAATAAACTTACCATTCAACGCGTTGTTTCACCACATGACTGTTTGGAGCCTCTTCACGCAGGTAAGAGTTCGTCAGAAACCTGGTAATCCATTTCTCAAGTCAGAGAGACAACGTAGACTTCATACAAGAAACCACTCAAACTGCAATAGAATTACAAGAAAGGAAACTATAGAGAAGGATTCAGGTTCACGCCAGAGCAATTCCACAAAGCTAGCAACGTTCGTAAGAGGAGATTTAATACTAAATAAACATCAAGCGTGTATGTATTGCATTCCATTATTTATCAAAACAGAAATAAGATCAGATAAACAGCCCATATAAGAATAAGACTAAAAGTGGCACGGGCAGCCATACCCAGACACAACGGAGCAAAACTAAGTAATATAAGAGTTTTTTTTTTGTCAAAAAAATAAGTAATATAAGAGTTTGCACGAACAAATATCCATGTCTAATGCACTGGTGGAAAATACTTACCAACAGCATGTAGCTATAACTGCTCCGGTAATTAAGAAATGAGTGAGGAAAACTGACACAACAACGACAACAGCATGAGAGCCACTATGGTCATACCTGAAGCAAGGCCAATAGATTACAATGAACAACATTTAACAACAGAACAAAATCGTAACAAGGCAATAACTCTCACATTGAAAAATGCACATATACAAAAGGCTTACGTGGCACAATAGGCTAAAGTTGCGAACATAAGAAGCAGGTTACAGATCACAATAAAAGCAGGGTCATCACGTGCCCATTGGTTTTTTGTTTCTGAGAGACAGATTAAGAGAAATTAAAGTAAATTCACTTATGTTTACAATTCTATTCCAAAGTTTTAGCTTATTCTTAGCAGGCACTAGGATTAACTATATAGTCAAGACCAAGAGAAGCCAATAATAAAGATAGCAAACGAGAAAACCACAATGAAGATTCTTCTCCACAAGTTACATATTCATTATTAAATAGGTCCCTGACCTATGAAGGTGATATCACACAGTGACGGATCTAGATAATCTATTAAGCGGGGTAAAAAGTTTTTTGATGTATTAATAAATTTTTGTTTGATATATTTTTAATAAGGAGAACATTTGGAAGAAAAAATAAACTAAATAAAATCAATGTAAAAAATGGTAGCTGGGAACTTGAACCCAGGTTTAGTGGGGGCATAGGGAGAGATATCTACTTATTCAAATGCAAATAAATTCAGTTGTAACTATTGTGAGGGCAGTTGTCACCTTCTTGTAGTACATAAATTCGCCCATGATTTCACAAACAAAACATATTTATATATATAGTTTAACATTTGAACTATCCATGTGTTATTCAATCAGTGATTTGAAATCAATGATTAATGTTTTATAATCTATCAAATTTTAAAATTTTAAGAAAGTTTAAGTTGATGAATTTTGAAATCTCTGCAGTAGGCCTTAGATTTTGAATTCATTCATTTTTTCATAAAAATTCACAAGAGATGATTTGAAATCAATCCAAAATATAAAGAATTTTAAAATCATTAAAAGTTGAATAACACTAGATTTTAAATACTGTATTTAAATCATTCAATGAATAACACTAGAATTTAAAATAGAAATCAGAATCATCAATTGAATAACAGTGGATTGTGTTTAGATTTAAACTCTATTAAAATACATCAATGAATAACACCACTATTAAAGGATACTAGAGATTTTTCCGGGCTACGCCCGTGTTTTTGATTAATAATTTTTATTTTATTTATGTAATACCTATATATTTTGGCTATGTTATATAAATAGTAATTGTGAATAATATTCAAAAAACATTCTCCAAAACTATATAAGCACGTGTATTTTGTGTATCGGTTTGGTCTGGTTTGTTTTATTTTTCGATTTTTGGTTCTAGAAGATCTTTTCAGATATTTAGGAAATTCAGTTTGATTTTGGTTCAATTATTTTGGTTTTTGATTCAGCTTAGATAACAAAATTAGAAACCGGCCAATATTCAAGATAATCGGATCTAATCCGAGTTTTGTTTAGTTTCAGTTATTCGATCAATCCGGATTAAAAGGTAAAAAAGGTTTCAGATTAAATATAAGATTTTGGGGGTTTTGAATAAAAGCGTTGATAACTTAAAATATTTTTGGATGCAAAATATTTGGATAATTCGGTTTATAATTATATTGGTAAAGTAAGATTAGTCTATGAGAATAGAGCAGCATCTAGCGTGTTTAAGAAAAATATATAGCACAAATTATTATCTAATATTATTTTTACTATGTAAATTAAGTTAATATCTTGGATTCAACATTTAACTTGGAATATGTCTTAACATGTAATGATATAAAATTATAATATGACAATATGTCAATATACATGCGAGAGAATAAGTCATGTATCATTCATAAAATGTCATCAGTTTAAAATTTTAAATCTTTTACTTATATTCAGTATTTTAAAATTTGATCTGGATCCGCGGCCAAATCGTAAACCCGGTAATCCGATAGATAATATTGTTTTAATTTTAGAGAAAAGTCATTATATAAAAACCAAACAAAACTTACAAAACGGCTAAAACCCAAAACTCGGTTATTGCCACCTCCATTGATTGATCCAATAAATAACTTTTACTTGTTTGTTCTTAGATTTTTGTAATTACATTATTACAATTTGGTTTATTTTCTAATTAAGAAGTTAGATTTTCAGTTTTTACTAACGTTTTCCACTAACAATTTTGTATACAATCTTTATAGTTATATTTTATCACTATAACTTTTTCATGTTGCTCTTATCTCCTCAAGCGTAAATATTGCTACTAATTATGTTTTTTTTTTCTATGATTATCCAATCCATTTTTAACAATTAAAGGCCCATAACTATATTAATCTGAATTTACGCAGATTATTTTGGTTAATTAAAGAACCAAAATTACTAAACTTCTTCCAAATATTATGTAGGTTATATAGTATCCACTTTATAAAGATATTGCTTCCTCCACCATCGTAACATATACAAAAACACGAAATCACATTTTTTTAAGAAAGATAATTAAATTTATGGTTGTGATACAATTTAGGAAAAAGAGACGTTGCATAGAAACTAAAGTTACATGTGTTCTAGGGTATGGAACTTTATTCAATTGTTTCAACTGATGGAAAACACTACGCAAAAGGTGATCTAAAATCACATAATTGGTCAACCTGTGGGGGAAATTAATATCCTCGTCGCAGTACAAACTATTAGCCTTATTTCTTTATTTTCAGAATAATTACCATGATTTCTATAGTCTTGAGTCCCATATAGTCAACTCAGGCTTTGGGGAGGTGGCACTCTGTAAAGAAAGCAACTTCGATGCTACTAATTTAGTCATTTGATTAAATTAGGCTAATACATAGACTACTCACCTAACCTCTATAACTTCACATAAGATGCCACATGTACAGCAAATCCTTGTCCTTGTCATGGTAAGAATAGTAATGTTTTTAGTATTATAGTAGCCATTCAAAAACTCCCCAGAGAAACACAAAGGAAAGGAAGTTATGTGATGGTACTAACAAAACAAAAAGGATTCTCCCATCTGCGTATTCTCTTCTCAAACACATGTCACCGTATTCTCCTTCACACAATAAAAAGAACTCCAATACAAAGGACAAAACACTGCAAATAACTCGGCAACAGAGAGAATACATGTATGTAGTACATGCTTCACTCTGAAAAGAAAAAGAACAGACATTCATCGGGATTGTCAAGTAAAGAATCCAATAGCCATTCATTCACTTGTAGAATAGAAGCTAATGGTAATTTTGCTCCAATATTAAAAAGTACTTCGGATTGTATCTCATATGGTGCCTACACCATCATCACTTTATGGAAGTTATACACATTGACTGAGATATATAGTTAAAGGGGAGATATTAACCTATGCTGAGTACGAAGAATCTTATCATATAGGTTTTGAAAATGTGAACTGCAAGAACCTTCAAATAAAACATCAAGCAATATCAATATCTAATGTCTATGCATATACTAAAGTTGATATATTTGTGACATTACATGTGATAATCAGGATGTTTCAACCAATGGGTCATAGAAGTGATTGTAGCAGACAGAAGGATAGCAGTTCATATATTAAGAGAAAGAAAATAGGCAAATTTTGGAAGTGAGCTGTCGGGGGTATATTGCATAATCACAGCTTTGTTGATAAAACAACATTGTCACTGAAGAAAACAATATGAAATAGTTGCATTTAAACTGCATATATAACAAAAATGAAAAGGCGAAAGTAATCAAGATTACTCAAGTGTTTAAACAGCATATTCCGAATGTCGATGCAGTCCTCAACGTTGGCGAGTCCAATGAAGAAGCACCTGATTTTTAAAATCACATTAATCAAACCATATTAGCAAGGAAAATGAAGTAGATAAGTAGGAACTTTCTCTTCTCTGTGGAAGATATCACCTATGTTTCTCAATCTCTAAACCAATATCTCAAAAACTTGCTTTTTCTCTGTTAAGGAGAAATGCTGGTTTGTCTCAGGTTCACACAGCTCGTCTACACCATCTCCCATCCCACGTCGCTGCTCCATCCATTCCCATGGTCAGAAACACCCTGAAACTGTCAGAATAAATAAAAAAACTCAAAGTAAGTGAAACTAAATGAAAGAAGAAGGGATAGGAATCAAAGTGAATCAGAGACTTTTTATGCATACTTAGTACATTTGAATGAGAGATTTTTTACCATGAATCATCAGAAACAACATCAGTGAGATCTTTTCCTCAGTGTCTCTGTATTTTCCTTGGTTATCTTTGGCTCTCATTCTCCTCAGTCGCGGAAGAGGCGGTGTTCTTCTTGTTGATCTTGCGGTCGTCGGAGACTTGAGGATTACCTTTAGGTTCCATAGGATTCAATTGTTGAGAGAAATTATCAAACTTGTTTGAAAGAGGAAATAGGAACCGAGATTTATAGGAAGAGGAGTGGTGGGGAAGATGAAATGAATCCATTGAATAAGAAGAGGAGAGGATTGATTAGGGTAGATAATGGTGAAGTAATTAGATGAAACGAATTTGCAGGGAAAAAAATCAAAGAGAAGCGGGATCGCATGATGAATCGGAAAGGAAGCTGAGATCGAAAAAATAGGTTTTGGCTGGAGCCTTGGTTACTCGTCTCACAGATCCTTTTGTCTGAAAAAACCAGGCCGTTAGTCAACAAAGGGGACCTATACCTAAGAAAATTACATGCCCAAAACTTGTGAAATGAAGCATCAATCAGATGACGTGGAAAAATAGTCAATTCTCATTGGCATAATTTCCATGCCCACGTGGACAGCTTATACTCTAGAATAAATCCTTTTAATTAGAGTAGATTTTTTTCATGGCAAAAATTAAACCAATCACATTTTTTATCGTGTATATAATTTCTAACTCTAAAAACATCGTTTGATAAAAAGCCTAATACAAACCCATCTAAAACCCATTACAAAAACAACAGAACAAGACAAAGAATAATGCAGCGGCTAGGGCTTCCATGGTGACTCCATTGGCGATCTTGGAGATGACGGTTCTGATCGGGAATTTCCATTGAAATTTCGATATTTTTTTTCTCATCTGCTTCATCGACAGAGGGTGCGCGATCCGGAGGCTGGCTCGTTAACCTTTTGCACACTCAACCATAAGGACCCCTGTTTACGTCTTGCACACGCCCGACGGTAATACAGCATCTGACGCTCTCAACTGGACACGATTGCACTAGGATCCTTTGATCCTTTGTTCTCCAGTGTTAGGAGCCTTTGCTCCTGACTTCCTGGCCGATCCATACATCATCAGTGAAGCTCTGTTTTGTCGTTAAAAAACAGAGCACTTCCGAATCTCTTTGATTACGGTAGGGATGAGATCATTGGGGGTTTATACTCGACTCTCATGGCTGATAAGAAGGGAAAGGGAATCATGTATGAAGAAGATGATGAGCCATTCCAACTTATTGATGATGATGTGTCACACGTTATGAAGGATTTCAAGCTCTCATTGATTGGGAAGATTCTCAATCCTAGGAAGCAAAATATGGAAAAACTGCTTAATTATATGCCAAAACAGTGGGGGTATGCAAGATCGTATCACCGCGAATGATTTGGGTAACGGAAAATTCTTGCTGAACTTCACCTCCGAGGAGGATCTTACGTCCATTCTCCGCCAAGGCCCTTTTCACTATAATTACTGCATGTTTGTGTTAGTAAGGTGAGAGCTCATCGTCCATGACGAGTATCCCTAGATCATACCATTCTGGGTCACTGTAACTGGAGTGCCGTTGCACTTATGGAATGTTAAGAATCTGCGTGGTCTTGGGGGTATGGTGGGACGTGTAGATACAGTGGAGCTCGAGGAAGGGCGGATGCTTATCGATATTGATACACGTAAACCCCTGAAGTTCACAAAGATGGCTCGGAATTCAGATGGAGATGAAGTCACAATTAAGTTTGCATACGATCTGTTGTTCAAACATTGCACCAATTGTGGCTTTTTAACGCACGAGAAGGAACAATGTCCAATGAACCAACTGGGAAACACAACAAAGATTGGTGTTTTTGATCGTGTTCAGTTGCAGAAGGAGGGGGTTGCTCGACGTCTTGATGGTGCTCAGGTATAGAAGGAAGGCGAACAACAGTTGAGAAAACATTTGATACGCCCCAGCAACAAGGACAGTTTCGCAATTCCTAAACATCATCGGAAGGACGAGTCTTATGCTCGTTCAGGTGAGGGATATTCTCGTTATCCTCGCAAGGAGAACCGGGATGATCACTACCCAGATAGAGTGATGAGGCGAGGGAAATAGAGGCAATATAGTAGGAGCAATCAAGTGCCATATAGTCGAAAACAGGAGCTTCACTGGCGGGAGAAAGATAGTAAGATTGCTTCACGAGAAGTGGTCCTTTATAAACCAGATGCGTCTCAGAAGAATCATCATGGGGATAATGCTCTGCAACAGGTGGAGCATGAAAATGAAACATGTGGAAGATCTCAGTCACCTATCAAGAAGCTGGCAAGCAAAATTGTTACACCCTCTTACGGGAACGTTACAATCCGCAACAGAAGTATAGTAAAAGCTCTCACTTTCCCCTCGGAAAGTGACATTAGGATGAGTCCTCCACGTGATGCTCAGGTTATTGGGGCTCTGAAGGAAATGGGAAGTAACTCACAGACTGGTATGGAGGAAGAGGACGCTAATATGGATGATATGCTTGGAGAGGAGCTGATGGAGATGGAGCAAAGAAGTACAAGCAAAACTGAATCGTATAAAAGTAAAGCAACTGCCGAGGACAAAGCAAAAGCAAAGCCGAGGAGAGACGTAAGTTCCCGAAACAACATCAAGAAGAGTGCGACATGGGGTGTTCTCACAATAAAGTTTCATCGTATTCGTCGCGGCTCTCCCTCTTAGCGGCCAGTCTCTACGGCCTCAGGTCATCCTTATGATGATGAGGTGAAAGCTCAAGCAGTAGCAAAGAAGAAACGTTCTGGAACACACACAAATGATGGTTTGATGAGGTCCACTACCTCATCAAAACATGATTAATGAAGACAATCAGTTGGAACTGTCGAGGGATAGGGAACGACCTCACAATTCGACGCCTTACGGAGATATGTCAGAAGCATCACCCATGATTTGTATTCCTCTCGAAGACGAAGAATAGGAGGCTACTGTTGCAAGACATTCAGGCCGACTTAGGATTTGATCTCTTGTTTACCGTTGAGCCACTTGGACTCAGCGGCAGTTTAGCTTTATTTTTTATGGATGATTTTCATGTTAAGGTTTTATTTTCGAATAACATAATGATTGACATTGAGGCAGTCATTAATGGAATAAAAGTCTATATGACATTTGTTTATGGGGATCATGTAGTAGAAAGAAGAGATTTAGTATGGAACGTCTTACGTGGTTCTCAACAACAAGAAATTGACCTTGGTTTATGATAGGCGATTTTAATGAAATTACTTGTCATGAAGAGAAAGAAGGGGGCATACAACGCACAAATAGTTCCCTCTTGCCTTTTAAGCAGATGCTCAGTGACTGTGGTATGCTGGATTTCCCTTTTAAAGGGAACATGCTGTCCTGGGTAGAAAGAAGAGCAGGGAGTGCTACTGTTAGATGTCACCTTGATAGGGCTGTGGGGAATGAGGATTGTCATGAGAAATTTCCTCATTCCAAAGTGCAGTATATGAGGCTTTGGGGTTTGGATCATCGTTCAATCCTAGCTGATATTCTCAAAAAGAAGCTGCAAAGATAAAAAAAACTTCAAATTTGATAAAAGATGGCTTCAAAATGAGAAACTCAGACAGATGATACTTAAAGGATGGAAATCGCCGGATCTCCCACCAGATGCAAGTATTATGGAGCATATTGCAAGTTGCAGACGAGGTTTATGTGATTGGAAAATACAACATAATCTGAATTTAGAAAAAAACTGTAGAGGAGTTAAAGGAAAATGTGGACCAATTATCCTCCAACGATGATGCCACTACAGAGGAGATTGCAGCGGCTTTAAAAGATATGTCTGACATCCTTAAGGTGGAGGAGCTGTTCTGGAAACAGAAGTGTAGGGTGTTCTGGTTAAAGGAAGTAGATAGAAACACCAAATTTTTCCACGCTCTCACGAAGCATAGAAGAGCGAGGAACAGGGTAACCCAACTTTTGGATTCAGATGGGAATGTTGTAGAGGATGAGGAAGGATTGGTAGCCATTGCTACCAGCTACTTTCGACATATTTTCCAATCATCAAACCCGGAGGAGATAGTGGATGCACTTTCAGAAGTTACCACTACAATTACGTCAGCAGATAATGAGGGCTTAACAGCCCCGGTCACAGAGTGGGAAGTTAAGTTGGCTCTTTTTGCTATGCACCCTGAGAAATCCCCAGGACCCGATGGAATGACAGCCTTGTTTTACCAAATTTTTTGGGATATCGTAAAGGAAGACTTAACTCTTATGGTTAATCAATTTGTATTCCAAGGGACGCTACTTGCTGGATTAAATGATACCAACATATGCCTTATCCCAAAAGTAGACAAGCCAAATCAAATGAGCCAGCTACGACCTATTAGCCTCTGTAATGTTAGCTACAAGATTATCTCTAAGGTCTTATGCCAGAGATTAAAAAAAGTCCTACCAGATAGGGTTTCAGAAACCCAGTCAGCCTTTGTTTCTGGGAGACAGATATCATACAACATAATGATAGCCCAGGAGATGTTCCATGCCTTAAGAACAAAACCGAGTGGACGTAATAAGATGATGACTATCAAAACAGACATGAGCAAGACATATGACAAAAAGAAATGGTCTTTCATTGAAGCCACCATGAGAAAAATGAGATTCTCAGAAGTCTGGATAACCTGCATTATGCGATACGTAACGTCAGTAAAGTACAAGGTCCTTATGAATGGACAGCCAAGAGTGAATATTGTCCCGGAGAGAGGTCTACGGCAGGGGATCCTCTGTCCCCTTTCATTTTTTTTCTTTCATAATTAATGTAAATTTATAAAAAATTATAAATAATTATCACATATATAAAAACAGAACAACAATATTAATTTAAAAAAGTTACACTAAAATATAAAATTGTAAATAAAAATAAATAATTAAATATTAAACTAAAAACAAAATACCACACTATTTATAAAGTCATTTCCGTAATGGTACATCTTTGGTTACACAAAACTTGTTTGAACAATACTTTGATTTTGAAGGTTCTAGAGCAAATTTACCACACTATTAGTGTTTTGTAATAATTATGTTTTCATGTACCCTTTTGAAAACAAAATTGTATTAATTTTTTTTGGTGATACTTTTGATGTCTAATTCTAGTTTTAAAATGATATCAATCTTATTTTAAAATTTTATTTAATTATATGTGTAAAATTTGAATTTTAAAAACAAATATGAAATACTTATGAGATCTAAAAAATTGAAGGATTAAAATGATAAAGGAAAAAGATACTTAAAAATCATAAATGAGATATATAATTAATTGTAAAAATCAAAATGTAAATAAAAAAATAATTTTAAATTTGAAATTTAGAGTAGGGAAAATTCAAATATAAAATTTCACTCTTCAAAACTCTAAATTTAAAATTCATTTTTAAAGATAAAAAGCTCTATATTTGAAGTTATAAAGTTTTCTTTAGAGATGCTTTAGAGATGCTCTTATGCCTAGAGTATATAAACTTCATGTGGTACTGTTTTTAATGCTTACTTTCTGAGAAAATATTGCAAATTAAAGTTATAGAAGCTAACACCCTAACAGTGTCTCTTAACACATTTGTTTCACCTACAAGTAGAAGAAGAATCTACACCTCTAAGAAAAGACCTACGCCACCAAATCTGAAATGCTTTACTGAGATTAGGACACTCAGTCCCATGCTTAGAGAACCATCTGAACCATTCCATGAACACTTGATACTGCTGCTTCAGTGGCAGTGTTAAAAGTGTCTGCCCCATCCCTTCTTCCACTTCCCTCATGTTTAATCCTTTCTTGCACCTTTGCAGCCACCCGAAATCTAGCAACATTGGCCTGAACCACATTTCTACCAGCCCCGCTCTTGCTTCTCCTCGGCATTGCACTCTCCTTTTCCCCATTGCAGTGAACATTACCCCTGTTACTCTGCTTAATTCATACCTCACCATTGGCGACGCTTCCTCATGCATCTCCACAAGCTTTCTTTGCTTCCCCCATATCTCCACAAATTCCTCTGCTATCTCCCGGTCTATCATGATTTCCAACAGCCAATTTATGTTCACCACTTCCCTCGATATACCTTCAATCAATGGCTTTCCGCTCTTGCCACTACTTCCCTCTTCAAACAGCTTAGCAAGTGAATCCACACAGTACTTGCCTGCTTTATACATGTATTCCTTGTTGATCTCAGGCTGTTCTTTATCGTACACAGAACTTTTGCAAAGAATACCTTTCACCAGAATTCTGAGCTCGTTTCTAGGATTCACATCAGCGCAGGAGGTTATTGACCAAACCAGCTGATTCGATAAGCTTTCTTGTGTGTTTTCTGTCTCGTTTAAATTAAACCTGGCCAGAATTTCGTCAGTTGCAGCATCATCGAAGTTATAAACTGCAAGAAATCTCCTCAGTCTTTCCTCTTCGTCCTCTGTCCACGGAACAGCTTCAAGATATTTTAGACAGGAAAAGACGGCTCTAGAGAATTTGATTCCAGCAGCTACCTGTTAGTGGTCAAGATGCTTTTGTTAGCTCACAGTGATATGTTCATGGAAAACAATGAGAATCTATTTGACACACCAGAGAAGAGTAAAAATCAAAGTCCCACACAATGGTGTTCATAATGAAAGACAGCAACATACTAGATGAAAATCAACGAGCACATGCGGAAAGAGTTTCAAAGAAAAAAAAACTTTTGCAGTGGGCCCTCCACACACATCAAAGAGTCCCAAAAACATTTCACCGAAATGGCAGAATGAAGTTAGAAGTCCATGACTAGAAGCTAGCGTATTAAGTGCCCAGTATCTCAATCCAGCAACAAAAAAAGGGAACACTAATGTCAGCAACAAAAAAAGGGAAAACTTATGTACTACATGCTATCAAAATGGCCAAAGATGTGTGAGCTTTGAATCCAAGGCAAAAAGGCAGTGTTTCTTCTATAAGCAAGCCAGTGCAGATAACTAAGATGAGGCAGCTACGGCAAATATACTAACAACAACAAACCCATCTAACTCCAAGAGCCAAAAAGAAGAGGGAAGAAAAAGGAGGAAGAGCAATTTTCCAAACCTCGAGTACATCAATGGCTCTGTAAACACCCATTTTCATGAGCCTCTTGATAATGTCATTACTTTCCTCAAACATGAGTTCTACAGTTTCCTTAAAAACGCCAAGATTCTCTACATCAGCGACTTCCATCCTGCATGTCAAAGCTGAAGAGTTGCCAGCAATCAAACCTGCGAACACATCCGAATTCGCTGATAGAACCTCCGAGCTCAGCTCCAGTACCAAAACTCCTCCGTTTCTCCCCTTCAGACTCAGCCTAGCGTCGTAACCCGAACCCGAATCTGAGACAGTTCTCTCGATCTTAGGTGCTCGGAAACTCTCTGAACGAAGATTTGGTACAACCACTTCTTCCTCATGAGTAGTCTCTTGCATTGTGTTGATGATGAGATCTGAATCTATGGGAGAAACTCGACCCGGAGATAGGATCCGACGAGGGTCGATTCGACCTATTAAAGCAGATTTAGAGCTCTGCGGTGAGCAAGGTACCGATTTGGGACCCGGTTTATCAACATTTTCCAGTTTGGTCCTCCGATGCTGCGGCTGGGTTTTGGTTTGTATGTGGTTACGAGATGAAATTGAACGAACATCAGGACTCGCCGGCGGTACGGCGAAAGAGCAGCACCATGATCGTCGCCGAGAAAGAGGCCCGGTG